AAATGTCCATCTTACCAAAAGCAATCTACAGATTTAATGCAATTCCCATCAAATTGCCAACACAATTCTTTACAGACCTGGAAAGAAAAATTCTCAACTTCGTATGGAATAACAAGAAAGCTACAATTGCTAAAACAATCCTCTACAATAAAAGATCTTCTGGAGGTATCTCCATCCCTGATCTCAAGCTGTACTATAGAGCAACAGTTATAAAAACTGCATGGTACTGGCATAGAAACAGAATGGTGGATCAATGGAATCGAACAGAAGGCCCAGAAAAAAACCCACACACTTATAGACACCTGATTTTTTACAAAGATGCCAAAACCATACAATGGAAAAAAGATAGTATCTTCAACAAATGGTGCTGGTCCAACTGGATGTCTACATGTAGAAAAATGAAAATAGATTCATACTTACCACCCTGCACAAAACTGAAGTCCAGGACCTCAACATAAAACCAGACACCTTAAATTGGCTAGAAAAAAAAAGTGGGGAACACCCTATAACTCATTGTTATAGGAGACAACTTCCTGAACAGAACACCAACAGCACAGGCTCTAAGAGCAACAATCAATAAATGGGACCTCATGAAATTGAAAAGCTTCTGTAAAGCAAAGGACACCATCATCAAAACAAAGCGACTGCCTACAGATTGGGAAAGAATCATCACCAACCCTTTATCTGACAGAGGACTCATATCCAGTATATATAAAGAACTAAAGAAGCTGAAAAGCAGCAAACCAAGGAATCCACTTAAAATATGGTGAACAGAGCTAAACAGAGAATTCTCTGTAGAGGAATATCGAATGGCAGAGAAGCACTTAAAGAAATGCTCAACCTCATTAACCATTAGGGAAATGCAAATCAAAACGACCCTGAGATTTCACCTTACACCCATCAGAATGGCCAAGATGAAAAACTCAAGGGACAACACATGCTGGAGAGGTTGTGGAGAAAGGGGAACCCTTCTCCACTGCTGGTGGAAATGTAAACTGGTACAACCACTCTGGAAATCAATCTGGCGCTTTCTCAGACAACTAGGAATAGCGCTTCCTCAAGATCCAGCCATACCACTCCTAGGCATATACCCAAAAAAGGCTCAAGTACACAAAAAGGACATTTGCTCAACCGTGTTTGTAGCAGCTTTATTTGTAATAGCCAGAAGCTGGAAACAGCCCAGATGCCCCTCAACTGAAGAATGGATGCAGAAACTGTGGTACATCTATACAATAGAGTATTACTCAGCAATGAAAAATAAGGAAATCATGAAATTTGCAGGTAAATGGTGGGACCTGGAAAGGATCATCCTAAGTGAGTTGTCCCAGAAGCAAAAAGACACGCATGGTACATACTCACTCATATAAACATACAACATAGAATAAACCCACTAAAATCTGTACATCTAAACAAACTAAGCAAAAGAGAGGACCTTAACTAAAATGTTCAGTCCCCATCCTGCAAGGCAAAGAGGATGGACATCAGAAGAAAAAGAAAATAGGAAACAACCTCGGAACTTGTTACAGAGGCCTTCTGAAAGCCAGAAGAAAACAGGAAACAACCTTGGAACCTGCCCCAGAGGGCCTCTGAAAGCCTCTGCAGTATAGACTGTCAAAGCAGATGCTGAGCCTGATGGTCAACTGATGGGCAGAGTGAATGGAATTTTATGTAAGAAGTGGGAAATAGTAAGAGCTGGAGGGGATGGGAACTCCACAAGCAGAGTAACAGAACAAGATAATTTGAACACAGGGAACTTCCCAGAGACTCATACTCCTACCAAGGACTATTCGTGGAGATAACCTAGAACCCCTGCACAGATGTAGCCCATGGCAGTTCAGTGTCCAAGTGGGTTACATAGTAATGAGAAGAGGGACTGCCTCTGACATAATCTGTTTGGCCTGCTCGTTGATCACCTCCCCCTGAGGGGGGAGCAGCCTTACCAGGCCACAGTAGAGGACAATACAGCCACTTTTGATGAGAACTGATAGACTAAGATCAGAAAGGAGAGGAGAACCTCCCCTATCAGTGGACTTGGGGAGTGGCATGCATGCAGAAAGGGGAGAGAGGGTGGTATCGGGAGGGGAGGAGGGAGGGGCTTATGGGTGGATACAAAATGAATAAAGTGTAATTAATAAAAAAATGCATGAAAAAAACTAATGAGAGCTTTAACTTTGGATCATATTTTACATTATTAAATAGCAGCAGACTTTGGGGATAATAGTTATAAACTATGGCTTACCATAGTACTGCTGTGTCAAGTTAATAGGAGTAGAATGGTCTGGTTAGCTTTAACTGCCAATTTGATGTAGCCAAGAGACATCTAGACATAGTCGTATTGAAGAATTATCTAAATCAGGTTAACCTGTGGGCACAACCATGGGGGGAGTTGTCCTGATTATTGACTCATCACTAATCCCTAAGGCAGGCTATAAACTGAGTAAGGTAAATTACTCGAGAGCAAGCAAGCAAGCACTCATAGGTTTCTTCTTTCTCTGCTTCTGACTGATATTACTTCCCTGCAACAATTCACTATAACTTGGAACTGTAAGTTCAATAAACCTGTTCCTCTCCTGAGCTTTTTGTTGAGGTGTTTCCACAGTAACAGAAATAAAATAATAACACAGTACTTGAAATTTGCTCTGGCATATCTTAATTACCATGCTGGTATCCAGCACAATCCACTCTCCTGAAAAGTACACAAGATTCATTCTTCATGGCTGAATAAAAGCTCTTAGTGTATACATACAACATATTTTCTTTACCATTTTCTTTTCTTTTGTCATTTGTTTGTTTGTTGTTTTGTTTTGTTTGGTTTGGTTTTTCAAGACCGGGTTTCTCTGTGTAGCCTTGGCTATCCTGGATTCACTTTTGTAGACCAGGCTGGCCTTGAACTCAACAGAGATCTGCTTGCCTCTGCCTCCTTAAGTGCTGGGATTAAAGACCTCAGACACCATGCCCAGCTTTTACCCAATTTCTTAATCTTAGGCATTCTGACTATGCTGAGATGAAATCTCAATTAGTTTCCATTTGCCTGGTACCTAAGGTTGTTGGATATTTTTCAAATATTTATTGGCTATTTGTTTTTCTTGTTTTGTTAACTGTCTGTTCTGTTACTCTGCCATCAAATGATTTTTGTTGTTGTTGTTGACTTTCGGTAGTGTGAGCTGTGCTGGTAACAAAGGAATGGAGCAGCAGAAACAGAAAACGACAACAAGCATAGCAAAAGCAAAACTGAAGATACATCAACACCCTAGCAGTTAGTCACCAGGTAGTAAATGCAACTGACAGATAAAGAAGCTTCGAAACACTTAAGTGTCTACAAAGTGTAAGCATCCAGAGCTGGAAGAAGAATGGAGGTGAAAGCAGGAAGACAAGAGAGGGCAAAGAGCTGAGTCTAAAGGAACAAAAAAAAAGCTGTTAGGAACCGGAACTGAAAGAAAAACCGTGTCTTTTTCACTGAAAGAGTTCTACAGAACTGTTACAACTTCAGGGTCAAGAGTCACAGAGCCCAGGCTGAGAGCTTTCACACTATCAATAGTCTGTGGATAAGGGCCCTTATACATAGAACCTATGTGTATAATCTAACACTGGAGGGTACCAACTGCTACTGATTCCACCACAATGTGTGGCCATGTGTACTGCTGTCAGACAAAGGGAAGAGAGACTTCCACAGACTGCAGGTCTTCTCCTTTTCTGCCACTAATTTCTGTTCATGGAGAGCAAGAGTCCTCAAGAAACTGACTGATAACCATATTATACAGCATCTTGAGATGGCATTTGAAACTATATGCATATAAATATCCATGGTTTTAAAACCATGTTTTGCTAATGTTTACCAACACCGAAAATGGATACATCTGAAGTGTTTTGTTTTGTTTTTTAAACCAGACTGAAGCTGTAGCAAAATCTGGTGTGTTTTACAGAGTAAATCCATCTCCCACTGAGCTCAGTATTCTCCCATTGAGTTCAATATAAAAATGGGATTCTAAAGTCTTTCCAACTCCTTTTAAAATCATATGCATTAAGTAATGGACTCAGAGTCAACCGTGAAAAGTTTTAAGACAAATCAGTTTCCTCTTTCAAATTATTTTCCATAAACATTCTGAGTTTTTTTAGTTCTGTTTTATATGACTATCTTTAGTGTTCTACAATAAAAAACCATTTCCCAAATATCCCTTCTGTGCAAAGACTGGCTGTGTAGGACTGGTATCTCAGAAATAGATGTTATTTAAATTTGTTATCTCAAATGCGGGGCACCAAAAGGCCCACAATCTGCAAGCTCCATACTCAGGAAACCTGGCAACGTGGGTCTGGGAAGCTTTAAGAGGAAAGGGGAAGGGAAATGGCCTAAGTTCCTGGCCTGAATCTTTAAACCCCACATTTAGGAATATGGATGACTAAGGGGAGGGAAAAAATGAATATCTCATCTCATGAAGAAAAGAGCAGTAACACTTTTGCAGGAACATATCTGTAACATTTACCTGGGGGAGCAGAAATGTTACGCTTTCACTGAAGGAGTCCCTCCCCCAGCCAGAGCAGAGCTGTAACACTTTCACTGAAGAAGCCATTCCCTATGAGAGCAGAACTGTTACACTTGGTTCGACAGCAGCAGTTAAACTTCTACAGGGGAAGCCTTTCTCTTCGGAGCTGCAACACAGACTCTGTCCTCTCCCTCAGCCACCTCTTCCTACCAAGGCCCCTGCTCACATCACCCCCATTAGAAACTTCCTCCCAGAAATCAGTCCTATGCTGAGCACAGTTTCGGTGCCAAGCCCCACCTCACCCCTACCCTTTCCCATCCCACATCCCATCCATACTCCTGGGTGTTTCAAGATCACGTTCCTCTAGCTCAAAATGACCGACTGAAATGAATCAAAAAGACAAGTAATTGTTTAGACACTTTAATGAAATGTCTAATTGGCTAGCTCCCCAGCAACAAGGACACTGGAGCTGACTGGAGGCTTAAGGATTGACCTCCCACCGCTGAGATTCAGGTATCATCACTCTCCAGGAGATTCTGGTGTCTCGATCTCAATTTTGTTGTCTCTGAAAAATTGAAGGAGTTCTTCATTGTTCTTTATTGCCTGGATTACATGCTCTGGAACGATGTTTTTCTTGCCCTGGTTGTGGGCCTCCTTTCCGGCCAACTCGAGGATACTGGAAGTCAAACATTCCAAAACCCCAGTGAGGAACACTGGAGCGGAAGAGCTCAGGCGTCGAGAGTAGTTTCCTTCTCGCAGACAGCGCTCCACGCGGCTCACTGGAAACCGCAAGTTGGCCCTTGCAGAGCGGGATACGTGCCCCTTTAGTTTTTTCTCTTCCATTGTGCTTTATTTCTTGGGCTGAGGTGTCTCTCTTCTGACCTGGGTTTCTCAAGACTTCAGCTTTTATAGCCTCCAAGTGCCCTATCTGCTGCGGACGGTCAGAAAAGGCCTTTGTGACAACAGTCTTTGTGACGTCATGAGTTTTGCCCACTGAGCTCTGATCCACCCTCAGTCTAGAAGTGTCCGTGTTAGGAAACGGATCGTCTTGCGAGGAAAATTGTTTCAATAGTACGGCAAATAAAAATCTCAATTAAAACGGTTCATCTCATGTTAGTAGACCATTCCACCTTCTATGATTCTAGCATTGCCTTTGATATTTTGTACATCCTTTTGTAAACTGTTGATCACTGACAGATCTGTAACAATTTGAACATGAAATGTACCCCCACAGGCAGCTGAGTAATGACAAGGAATCCATTAGTATACTTAGACCAAGTTCATGGGTTAAAAAGCTTTTCGATGAGTAAAATCAGGTTTTTGGCCCATAACTCTGCCTTATTTATAGAAATATGCCCTCTGAGTTAAATTCAGGGCAGTACTTCAGAGGGCCTTAATCTGAAAGAAGCCGTATTAGGTGTGAGGGGACTCTGAACAGCTCAAGCATGACATAAATGTCTCTGGCAGGCCTTGCCCTTCTCCCCCATACCCTTTGCCTTGTTCAAAACCATTACATTACATTCCTAAAGCTAGACACCAATATTTATTCCCTTATTTGGCCACTTTTTCCTCCTGAGGCTGACTACCAAGGTTCAGCTATCAAAGTATTGGAGCCCAGCATTCAAAAGCCCCCTTTGGCTGCCATAGTCATGTTCAATCAAAATTAAACATTTCATCCTAACACGGCTTTCCCCCTTGTACCTTTTGCCTATGGACCACGGCTGTCTCTTCTCTATCCAGAGACAGTCCTTTCTACCCCTGCCTTTCTGTAACAAATACCCGTTTTCCTCTCCCAAGCTCTCTTCCCCTTCTCTCTCATACTCTATCTCATGTCTTTCTTATTCCCAGTCCTCTGTTCCTTCGAGGCAAATAATTCTCATTTGCCCTGAGAACTTGGTCTTGGGGTGTCCTGAGGAGATTCAGATACTTTCAAGGTTGATTAAAGAAGCTGTGTGATCAAGCAGTCACCATTTCTCCATTTTTGTTTAGTATGTGAGGTGGACTTTGGAAGTTGGACTTTGTTGATTACCTATGGGCAAAACTTGACAGGTCAATAGGCCTGGGAGGAGATGGAAGTTCAAAAAAACAGTTGATAGCTTCAACTCTGCAATTCAATAATGGGTCAAGTATAAATGAAAACAGTATGATTCCTTCATCCAGGAATAAAAGACCAACTAATATTTTCAGAAAGTGTAGCATTCTCAATTGATTTGAGATAAAATAGACAAATGGAGAAGAAAAAATCTGGCAAGTTAGATTTTCTACTGTCTTCTACCTCCTCCCCCCAAATGATTAGATTTCTCTAAAGCACAGGCTATCTAGAAAGACACATCTGAAACTAGGTGCTAAACCATTTTACCTCTTCTAAAATGTATGTTTCCCTCTGGCTTCACCGACACTCTATCGCCAAGTGAATGCTCTGTCCCATTCAGTTCATGCCCACTGTGTGTATCCTTCTCTGACACCTATTTCCTTCTGATCTGAGCTCTTCCCTCACATGAGAGACGACTTCCATGCAAAATTTCTGGCCATGAGCAGTGTTTCCTAACTTACCATATTGAAAACCCAACTTGCCACTGAGGCTCTAGTAAACTTCTGAGCTCCTTTGAGGCTTCTTTTGCCCTCCCCTCCACCCAGTTCCTCCCACCTGGGTCACTACTCAAGCTACCCCCACTGAGAAGTGGTCCCCATGATTCAAACACCCACTACTAACCACAACTTCCATCTTCCACCTTCTCCTTAGTATCTTAGTATACCTCCAACTCATAAGGACAAATTGAAAAGAGGCAGAACAACTAGCTTTCATTCAAACACTTTATTAGTATTGATGGACACCAGGGGAAGCCTCCTCTGCTATTAACCATCTGGTTCTAGCTGAGTTCATGAAGCTTTCCACCTTAGGGTTCTGTACCCCATTCTTTAGCCATTCCTTCTGGGTCCAGGCATCTCATCAAACAGAGAGAAAGGAATGTTATTGAATGATTGAGAGGGTTCACGGTCATCGTCTTCTTTTCTCTCTCCTTCTTGAGGGATGTCTTGCTGGCTGTTGATATTGGCTTCAGAGCCCACCACCTCCAGGATATAGTCCGTAAGGTAATCAAGAGTGGCCAGTAGGAAATCTGAAGTGGTGGAACCTATACATGGGGTATACTGCTCCTCCTGCAGTAGGCGGTACACATAGTTCACAGGAACCTCTACATCAGGTCGAGATGTAGAGGTATCTTCCATCTGCTTGTTGTCACTGCAAGACTTTTCTTGGTTCTTCTTCCCTGACATGATGGTTTGATGGTTTGGGCTCCAGTAAGCTCTGCCTGGTTCACCAGCAGGACTGGCTCTCTGAAGACACTCAGTGTTCAGTCCTGTCAATTGCATCCCTGGCTTCTGCTCCTCATTGGTCAGGAGCTACCTTTATGACATCTTAGGCTTTGAGATGTCATTGGTGCCTAGTGGGTTGTGACTAGGCCTTGGCCTAGAAATATACAGCAACCTGGCCACCCTACCTTGAGTTTGAGAGAAAATTAACTCTTCTCAATTACACTTGAAATAACATTGTAGAAATAATGTTTTAGTTGTAAACTGTCTATCTTTACAACTTTTCACTAACTACAAGGTACTGATAGACATGTCAAACATGTTTCCCAGTTAGGAGTTGGACTGTTCTCAAACAGAAATAAGACCTATTTTGATTCAAGTTACTTATTTAAATAGGCTTGGTTAACATTTCTGTAAGCTATTTGGATACACACCTTTGAACATGTGTTCATCCCCTACCTTCAAGAGTTTTATCCAACTTGAAAAACATCTATTTTTTGAAGAGGAAATGCTCAGTGTGTTTCTGATAGGAGTTACATAGATACTGTTGGTAGCTGTACTTTCTGTTCTATTTAAGTCAAGACTTGTCTTTCTTGGATCTGATGGGTTATACATTTTTTATTTTAATTTTTCTTTCTATTAATATCTTGTTTATGCTTTATTCATTTTGTTTTGGTTCATTAATAACTAATAACTTTACTACTCCAAAAGAGAGAAAGTGTAATAAAGAAAGGAATCTTCAATCCAACCAATATCAAAACACAATTATTTAAAACTCCACTAGATATCAGGGCAGAACAATAACCTCAGTAGATGTGAGACCATTCACTCTGACTTATTGATTCCATGGCTATATCTGTAGCCAGAGCTCTACTCTCTGGACCCCCAGATATTCTCTTTGAGTCATGTGTCTTTTGAGTGGGAGTACAAGGTTACAAGTGAATAGTCTTATCCACCTTTCTCCTTCACAAATTTTAAGAATTCCACAGACATTTGTCATTTCATCCTTGGTTCCCTTCAATCTAATTTGCCATTGTTTCTGCTGATATAACATATTCCAAATCTTACAGATCTTCTGTGCAGCCCATGGGAAGTCATTTCATTAGACATTAGAATCTTTCATAGGTCCTTAATCAAAGTAGATGATAACCACACTACAATCCACAGACCCAGAGAGGTTAACAAGGTGGGCTCTAGGGGGTGGGAGTATGCATGGATCTCTCTGAGAAAAAGAAATAGAATGGATTATGTGTGTGGACTGGGGATGGGAACAGGAAGGATCAAGTCAGGGAAGAAGGAACTGAGGGAGAGAGTAGATGAGAGCCTACTGAAACGTGTGGGGTCACATTTGAGGGACATTGTGGAAACCCAGTGTAGTGGAAATTTCCTTGAACCTGTATGAGAATGACCTTATGGAGAACTCCTAGTAATGCAGGACATGGAGTCTGAACAGGCCATCTTCTGTAATCAGACATCTAGAGATGAAACTGGGAAATCAATCCAGCCACAAAACCTTTGACCCACAAGTTGTCCTGCCCGAAAGATGTGCTGTGGCAATAATGGCTCAGAGCTTGTGGGTACGGCCAACCAATGACTGGTCTAACTTGAGGCCCAGGCCACAAGAGGAAGCCCATGTCAGACACTACCTGGGATGGCCAGGAACCAGAAGCTGGATGGTCCAAAGACCTAGGGTAGAACCAAACACAGCTGGGGAAAAAGAAGACCAATTAAATAACTGATTATTTGATATTCTGCTATATTCATAGATCAGTGCCTTTTCCATTCATCATGAGAGAGGTTTCCTCCAGCAGCTGATGGGAGCAGATGCAGAGACCCACAGGCAAACATTAGGCAGAGCTCAGGTAAGGCCCCACAGAAGAGGGGGAACAAGTATTGTAGGAGCCAGAGGGGTCGAGGATGCCAGGAGAATGTGGTCCACAGAATCAACTAAGCAGGGCTCATAAGGGCTCACAGAGACTGAACTGGCAATCATGGAGCCTAAATAGGCCTGTGCTAGGTCTTCTACATATATGTTGTTGTTGTTTAGCTTGGAGTTTTGTGGGACTCCTAATAGTGGGAGTAGAGATATCTCTGACTCTTTTATCTATTCTTGGCATCCTTTTCTTCCTACTGGGTTGCCTTGTCTAGCGTCTAGCCTTAATAAGACAGGTATGGACCTAGTCTTAAAGCATCTTTTCATGCCAGGTTTAGTTGATATCCCTGGGAGGCCTGTTCTTTTTTTGTAGGGAAAAGGAGGAACAGTGGATCTGGGAGAGAGAGGAGGTGAGTGGGGAATTGGGAGGAGTGAAGGGAAGGGAAACTGTGGTCATGATGTAATTTATGAGAGAAGAATAAATAAAAAGAAAAAATAAAAATCCCTTCTTTACATCTTGATCGCACTGAGAAGCACACATCACGTCTCTTCAGAGTAGCCACTGTGTGATGGAATACTTTCCTGTTTTGATTTCCTCAAGGGTATTGCCGCAAAGATGTCTAGTTGTATTCTTGGCTTAATGTACAAAGGACCACTTCTGAGAGCAAATCTCTTCATTTTTATCATTTACAATGTGCGTAGGCTGATATTTTCATATAACCTCTATTATTTTACTGTAAGCAGAAGTGGGATAGGAAGACTGTGGTTTCAATATTTATTTGGAAATCTGTCCAACTAAATAAATATTCCCATTGGTCAGTCACAAGTTCTTTTCACACAATGATAGGAGATAATTCAGCTCAAATTTTCCTTTATCAGTAGAGACAAGACACTTACAGTACACCAACAATTACCAACAATTGAAGTGTGCAAAGGGGAAACTGAGAGAGGAGAGATATTCTGAAAGAGGCAGTTTAGAACATTCACACACTAACACATCATCACAGCAATCCTTGCCTGTCCCAGCTTAGCTAAAAGTAAACCAGAAAAGCAACTTGGGGGCCTTAAACTAGCCACAAAGCTAATGGGTAGAAATAAAGTCAGTAAATACAGTATCTGTGCTTCCCTAAGTCCAAAGCTATCAAAAGGTATAAGAAACCCATATTAACAAATTTGGTTAGCCATCTCCTATCTAAAACACCCATCATGAAGATGGAAACCACACAGAATATATTGGAAACTGACTCTATAGACAAATCCAACAATAACAAATATGGTTAATTCTTCCTTTCTGAGTTCCCCAGAGGATGTGGAGCACAGTTTCCACACCAAAGACTCATGAGATCCTTGGCAGAATTCAGGTTTCATCCAACCTCAAAGCAACTGGCTGTTTGATATGTCTGTGTTTCTACTTGGTGGTACCATGTGCACAGTTGTTGTTATGGGTGCTCAGTCAGTGTTACTGGGTGCTCAGTTGGTGATACTATGTGTCTAATTGATAATCTAAATATATCCATTTACTTTTACTTTATTAAAAATTCCCCATCCTTTTCCCTAGTCTCTGTTTCATTCTTCAGAACAGTGTTCCTAAACTTTGATTTCCTTTTTCAAAGGATTTCAGTGATTCTCCAATAACATATTTGGTGCTGTGACTTGGATGGGTAAGGTTAATTTGAATATAATGTAATACCCTCTTTATCTACTCTGTAGCTTGAGGTGCCTCCCTCTCCTCTACTATTACCTTCCTGGAGCAAATTTATTCTTCCCTATACATTCTGATTCCTTTATACTATCTATGTCTTCTTCTGCCTACTTCCTCGTTTGGCTTCAGGCTGTTTTTTCTAAGGGGTACTTTTCCGGTCACTCCCTTTGCCTGGATTTTATTCCCTGGTATCCTCTCCAGTTCCCCTTTCTCTTCCCAGGGTTCTTGCCACTAGGATGCCACCTTCTCTCTGCCTTGAGTTTCAGCCCTTTATCTCACCCCAAGCACCTCACATTCATTCTCGCCCTCCCTCTTCTATGACCAGGGTCATTTAGGGGCTCTCTGTTGGCATGTGCTTCCTCTCCTATATTGGTCCTCTAGTCTCAAATGCCTCAGAAGAGCCCATGACTACGTGTTTTTTCTATCTTGGCTCTAAAGAGCTATAGATTTTGATGTGAGTAGCTCCAAACCCCTCTCCTGTGCCCCTGTCATCTTCTGTAGACACTACTGTCTTCCACAGCTGTATTAGCCCCAGAATAGCCTACATGGTGCCTTTTCCTCAAGACCAGCTCTTAGAGTGTCATTATTGGGCTATCTGCCAATGGACACTCCACCACAGTCTTGCTTGTTTCCCTGACTGCTTCCCAAGCCACTTTCTGGCTCTCTGGTCAAAGCTATCCTAGTGTCACAGGCTTTTCTTGGTCTCCCTTTCTCTGTCAATGACCACTACACTGTTACTTTGGTCAAGCAGATACAAGCTAGAGTCATCTGAGAATATGGAGCCTGAGTTGAAGAACTGACTTCATTAGATTGGCCTGTAGGCAAGTCTGTAGGACATTTTCTTAACTGATGAATGATGAGGGGAAGACCACTTTGGAGATACAAGCTCTGAGATGTTGGTCATGGAGTATATGAGAAAGGTATAAAAACCGACAGCTAACATCATCCTAAATGGAAAAAAAGTTTGAAGCAATCTCATTGAAGTCAGGAATGAGACAGGGATATCTACTAGCAGCACTCCCATTGTGCTCTAAGTACTGGGTAGATAAATAAGGCAAGAGGTTTATCAAAGTAACCTTATTTGTAGATGACATGATACTACTATATATTAACAATCCCAAAACTTCTACCAGAAAACTTCTAGAAAAAATAAACAAATTCAGCAGTGTGACAATACAGAATCAACATACACAAATAGCTTTTCTATACTCCAATAGCAAGCATACAGAGAAGGGAATTAGGGATATACTTCCATTCACAATAGCTTAAAATAAAATAACTACGAATAAACCTAGTCAAGGAAGTGAAGGATATCTACAATTAAAACATTAAACTTCTTAAGAAAGAGAGAGGGAAAGGTACTAAAAAATGGAAATACATCCCATCCTC